TCCTCTCCTCCCTCCTCCCCTGTCCCTCCTCCTGCTGCTGCTCTCCTCTCCTCCCATCCCTCCTCCCATCCCTCCTCCCCCTCCCCATGTGCTCTACTTCCCGCTGCTGCCCTTGTTTCTTTCCTCTGCTCCTCCTCCCCTTCCTCCTCTTCCCACCCTTCTCCCCCTCCTCCTCCAGCTGCTGCTGTTGCTCTTTCCTCTGATCCTCCTCTAATCCCTTCTCTCCCTTCCTCCTCCTGCCCTTCTTTCCTCCCATCCCTAGACCTCTTCCTCTTCCTCCTCCTGCTCCCCTTTCTCCTCCCTCCCTGCACAGGCCCTGTACCCCACCCCACCCCACTTCCAGCCTTGGGTCTGAGCCCCAGGTAAAGGGGGAGGGGAGGAATACTGGGAAAAAAGGAGAAAACCAGACTATGTAAACTGGGGCTGAGGGTGGGCAGCTGGGGAAATGTATCTTGGGGGAAGCGTTTTAGAGAAATAGGCCTATCCTCCCATCATTGTCAGCGCCATCTTGTGTCTATCTCCTTCATCCTAGTTTTCAGTCACTGGAAATAATCATTGCAGACATTTTGTGCCACTTTTTTATTGGCATACAGTAGGCACCTTGAAGGCTCATTGTGAGACAGTTTGTCTCACTTGTATTGACACACAGTAGGAACTTTAATAAAGGCTTGTTGTTTTGATTAATAGATAGCACTTTACATTTTGCAAGGCCAAAGGGGATTAATAATAGCACCTCCCTCCCAGGGTTGTTGTGAGGATAAAATGAGATAATTCATAAACCTCTTTGCCAACCTTAAAGCACTATATAAGTGCTAGCAGTCACTATTACTATGATTATTAGTTGATCCACCCCATAGTACAGTGAAGTAATCAATCAATCAACATCTATTAAGAGCCGACTATGTGCCAGGCATTGTGCAAAGCATTAAGGCAGGGACTTTAATTACAGTGTTACTTTTATTTTACAGATGAGGAAACTGAGGGTCAGAGAGGTCACATGCTTAGCTCTAGCATTTAGCAGCTCCTGACACTTAGTAGGGGTTTAATAAATGCTTGTTGATTTAATGATTTGTCCCTGGTTACATGAATAGTAAGCGTCAGGGGCCGGATTTGAATTCAGGTCTTTCTGATATCTAAAGATGCCTTTACATTATGCCACGTTGTTTTTTTTTTTTTTGGTGCAGAGAAAAGGTTGAGGTCAAAAGGGGTGAGGGGAGGAGGGCAAGAAGGGTCTTCCAGTCACCTTAATCAACACACAAATCGCTTGTTCTGTTGTCCCTCACTCCTACCCCCAGGAAGGGCAGCCAGGGTTCTTCTTGCCATCTTGGATGGCCTCACTGAGTCACATCTGAGAATGTTTACAAAATTAGCTCACTTGATCTGATGATGGTTGAGGTCAGCCTTTCAGGGAAGCTTTGGAGTGTGTGTTAATGTGTGTGTGAGGAGCTGGAGGTGAGGGGCAAGTAGGAGGAATAGTGGGGGGAAGGCAGCAGCGGCATAATATACTGGAAGGAGACTTGAATTTGCAGTCACGAGACCTGGGTTTGATCTTGGACTTTCCTTACTCCCTGTGGCCTTATACAGGGGATATAGGCTCTGGGTCTCTCTGGGTCTCAGTATCTCTGTCTGTCAAATGAGAGGGTGGGATGAGATTTGCAAGGTTCCTTCTAGCTCTAAATCCTCCAGTCTTAGCCATGTAAGGAAATCGGGTTTGGGAGAGGGAGAGGGAGAGAGGAAAGTCAGTACTCTTGGTAGCTGGAAGTAGTGATGAGAATGGGACATTCTGAAAAGAGAACCAGAGGATATAAGTTACCACCAGTTGAAAATAAATTATTGTGTGCCCACAGGGGATACAGGCACCAGATGCTGAGCCCCAGCTGTACAAATTGCACTCAGAGGCAACAGAGAGCCTCATTTTGGTCTTTTATTTCCTCACCCCTCTTTCCTGTGTCCTACAGAAGCAACCCACTTCTGTAAGAAAGACTTATGGTTCATATGATTCTTGCTAGTGTCCCTGTGGTTTAAAAAAAAAAAACAGAGGGGGGAGGTCTGGCTTATGAGAATTTCTAACAGGGGATTTCCAGGGAAGACTGTTTGTATGAGGGGAAGGAAAAGGTTTGTCTGTTTGATTAAGAAATAAACAGTTTCCATCATGAGGTGCCCAGGATGTAGATAGGCCTGACCTGCCAACCGTTACAGCCCCCAAAATAGTCCTCTGGAAGGGCACCCCTCCCCCAGCTAAGTTAGACACTTGCCGGACCAGCCTGCATCTTCTTGGGCTGTCTGTACCACTCTAGCCCCATGCTTCAATTGCTTTTCTAGGCCCTGTGTTTCAAGGCAGTTCCCAGGCAGTGTTTCCTTCATCTGGGGCCAAGGTTAGAGGTTTTGCTTTTAAGCCAAACTTTGTCTGCTGCCCCCAAATCTTATGGGCATATTCTGGAAAGCTCTTCTTGTGGACCATCATTGTGCCTGGAACAAAAATCAGACTGCCCTCAAAATCTTTCTTTTTAGCTAAAGTGAAGCAAAATAACAGCGCCTCAGTGGAATCTTCCTGGAACCTTTAGCGGTCCACCTTCTGGTCTCTCCTTACTTTCTCCTTTACCTGCCCTTAGGAAACCACCTCAGCCAGGGAAGAATGAGACCCATCTTCCTAAGTGAGCCAGTTGGATTTTTAGAACTGGAATGACTTTGGACATTATCTAGTGCAATTCTCTCATTTTACGTCAGGAAACAGAGGCCAGAGTGGTGGTAACTTGTCCAAGGTCACAGACTGGAAGGACCAAATTGAAGACTTAAGCCTATATCCCCTAGCTCCCCATTCAGATGTCCCTGGAAATTTGAAGGACCTACTTTGAAGAAGTCAGTAATGTCTATGGCTGTAATGATCCTATCTATCCCCAGTATTCCTCTCTCTGCTTTTTATCAGCCAGCCCCTTGTTTGTCCTGACCCCTAAACTTTGAGAAGTCTAAATTTTCGAAGTGAAATTCAATTTTAGAAGGCTTTCTGGAAATAAAGAGTGGTGGGTGGTGGTTATACCACTTCTTTGCTTTCAGGGGTGAGGAATCTTTCCTTCCCAAAGGGAGGTAAGGAAAGGTAGCACCCACTTGCCTTTCCAGAGATGGGAGCAAGCAGTGATAGGGAATGGAAGAAGGGCCAAAGGCTAGAGAGACCAGATATGGAGCATCCAGGTGCTTCCTTTCCTGCTACAACTTGCTCATTGTGGAAGAAAAATACCTCCGACTGGTAGCCTCTTGGTTGACTAAAAGCCTACCAGTGAATTTAATTAATTAAACAAGAGTTGGCAAGCAATGAGCTAATCGTCCTCTTGTTTTCCCTTCCTCTCTTCCCCACAGTTTAAGGAGAGAGCTATGGTCAGATTTCTCTTCACTTCTCACCTGGGACTTTTCTGACTTCTCCACCTTCCCCCCAGGTCAGGTTGTTGTTCCTCTTTAGTTTTGAAGTGGACCAATGACATCACAAGGATGATGTCTTGACTTGCACTGAATTGGATCTAAGTGAGGCAGAGTTGTGCAAAGTTGTCAGCCTCACTAAGCCACACCACAGCCCAGTGGTAAGACAGAAGTCAAGACAACTGGGGATGGCCCAGGGTACAGCGGATGCCCTCCTTGGCATCTTTAATTTCTGACCAAACTCTAATCTCTCTGTAGCACCTGTTTCAGCTGCATCTGCCCACTGCAAGGAGGAGGGGAGAGGAGAATCTTCACAAGGCGGGGGTAGCCATCCTCCTAACTTGTGGACAGGTTTGATGCTTGTCGGTTACCTTCAAACTGGTTTAGCCCACCTGCCTGGATGGTTTACTGGGGTGTGGTCGCTACCCATGCTATAGCTTCTTGGAGCCCCGGGTGAGAGTTGAATGAATCAGGTGGACACCAAAGGTGGACAAGCAGCCCTGAAAAGGGTTCAGTAAGCCCTCACACCAGAGGTGCTCATCCTCCTGGACCACCCAAATATGTCCCACATACCTTTTCTTCTTTCACCCCTCCCCACACCCACTTTTTAGCTTTTTGTGTTATATCTTCTCCCATTAGATTGTAAGCTCCCTGAGGGCAGGAACTACTTTTTTTTTTTCTTCCATATTTTTATTCCCAGCACTTAGCTCAGTGCCTGGCACATAGCAGACACCTAATAAATGTTTATTGACTATTTCCATGGCGCTTTAAGGTTCACAAAATTCTTTCCTCTCATAACCTTATGAGAAGGAAGTGGTACAAGTGTTTTTAATTCTCGTTTCACAGATGAAGAAATGAATACTTTGAGCGACTTGCCTGTGACCACACTGGTACTTAGTGATTGTGCCATTTGAAATGAGGTCTTTTTGAATCCATTCCTCTCCTCTGTACCACAGTGACCTCCCAGAAAGGCATCTAGGCCTAGAAAAGAATTATCCCCTTGCTCTGGTGGGGAGGAGGAGGAGGAGGCTGTGCAAATTCTCAGGCACCAGAATTCTACTTCTTCCGTACAGATAAACCCTGAGTCCTTCAGAGTTCCTGGAGAATGTTTCCTGGAGAATGATGATCCCTAATTGAATAGACTTGAGAAGAAGGGTGGGAAGGATCTGTGCGAAATACTCAGGGCTTTTTCTGCCACAATCTAGGAAACTCGGGTGACCAGAGCAGAGGTACTAACAGGTCCAGAGATTGCCTCCAGGTGGCACTCTTAGGCCTGGACACCTCTATCCCACAAATGCACGCTCTTGGCCACAGAGACCCAGACCAGCGTAATTCCATCCCCATGACATATACACGATGGACAAGTAAACCTCAACGGCAGACTTTCTACTTGTGCACGAAAGTATTTCTTTCATGTAGTAAGGAAGAAATCCTGTAATTCAAGAACTTTCTATTTTTCCACTTATCAGCATCTCAGCGCTTTCTTGTTTCTAGTCCTCAAAGGGGACAGAAGGTAAAAGGCAGATAGGGCCATTGATTGAGGGGTGGGGTGGGGACAAGAGAAGACGCCACAGACATCCCCACAACTTTTCTCTCTGCTGGGTCTGAGCTCAGGATAAGATCAGGCACTTGAGAGACCTGCCCCCAACTTCATCTATCCACAATGATGTGCCTAGCTTGCAAGGGCCAGAGAAGAACATTTCAGAAATCCTATGCTCTGTGAGGATTTCCCAGGAAGGCCAAGCAAAATCTTTTAACACTATTGTTTGAGGCATAGCGGGGCACAAATAGGGACCTTCCTTGAGGATCAGCTCCCTGGAGACCCAGGGATGGTACTACCACATCCACATTGATTGATAGGAGATGTCATGGGACAAAAGTCAGATCTCCTTCCATGCTAAGGTTGGAGGGGAGGGTTTATAGGCCTCTAATCTGATCCCCTCTCTTCAGGGATGTGGTGCCCAGTTATCCTGGAGACACCTGGGAAGTTGGATTGGTTTGAGAATTCAGACCTCAGGGGAAGGCAGGTCTGATGCCAGGTCCACTGGAGTGGCAGCAAGTCCTAGATTGTATCTGGAACCAAACTGGCCCTTGAGGGCTTTGGATAGAAGAAAGGGACCTAAAGCTAGCCCATTTCCACCTCCCATCTTCATAGTAGCTAGTAATAATTGCTAACATTTATATAGTGCTTACCATGTGCCAGGCACTATGCTAAGTAGTTTACAATTATTTCATTATATCCTTATAACAATCCTGGGAGGTAGGTGCTATTATTATCCCCATTTTACACATGAGGAAACCTGAACCACTGAAACAGAAAGGTTAAGTGATCTACCCCAGGTTAAATAGCTGGTGTCTAAGGCAGGAGTCAAACTTGGGTCTTCCTAACTCCAAGTCCCATGCTCTACCCACTATACTACCTAGCTGCATCGAAGCTTTTTTCCATCTCTAGGTTTGGATTGAACATCTACATTATGCCTTAATGATTTTCCCAATTTTTATTTAAGTAATTTGCATATATTTATGTTTATTCACTTTTATATTTATGCTATATATATTTATATATGTGCTTGTCTCCTTTATTAAAATTAAGCTCCAGGGAGTTGGGAGTGTTTCATCCAACATACTGGTATCCTCAGTGCCACATAAGAGGCACTTAATAAATGCTTTATTGCTTTATTGGAGTGGATCTTTTGGGGCTTACAGTTTGTTGGTGGGATTACCCTCAAGAAATTTACCTGGTGAATGACAGCTATGGATGGTATCAGAGAGGGAGAAGATACTTCTCCAGACATTTCAAGAGGAACTTATCTTCACTTTCCTCCTTCCTTTCTCTTCCTTATCTCCCCTTCACCCCCAGGATGGTTTCAGACTGGATGCCACATGGCTTGGGCATTGTGGTCCCAAGACCCAAGATGGGGATGCAGGGAGAGAACTGGCCTCTTTTGCCTTCACAGGGAATCTCCAGTGCACACAGATTGGTTGATGGAGAGAGGAGGGAAGCATCTCTAGGATTTCGGAAAGCTTTATCAGGATCTGACCTAAAGAGCTTAACATCACTAGCCATCTCAGGGCTGATTGGCATTCTATGTGCTGAGTGCTGCATGGGTGGTTTTGTATAGTACTCCTTTGTGTTACAAAGCTTCCCAAAAGGAGTGGATGGAGGGATGATTGAGGATTATTTTCCAGTGCCCAGGAAGGGGAATGAGGCAAAAATAGTTGCCAGGAATTCCCCCAAGCTCCTTTTGTCCTTAGGATCTCCAGATGCAAGGTCTATGGTTAGAGGTCCCTAGAAGCATTGCCTCCGTGTCATAGAAGAGAAGACTTGGGCATATAAGTAGCATGCCAGAGGATGTGGGACCACCTGGATTTTTTCCTTCAGGCTTGCTGCAGTTGACAACTCAAATCATTGAGCTTGAAGCAGGCTATGGGCTTGAGAAATAGGCACACAAACATAGGTCCTTGCTGTCCATTTTAGGAAACTGAGGGCAAGAGAAGAAGGTAAGATAAAAGCCCTGGTATTTCTGGTCTTATCCTTTCCATCTCAGCTTTCTCTGGTTGCAGGAGGAGGATCACCTCTTCATTCTGATCCAAGGATTGGGCTTCTAGGTCACAAAACGCCTCCTTCTGACACCCACAACTCCCCCATTCCTCCAGCTGCCAGTCAGTGAGTTAGTGATCTGGGATACCAGGTCATTCCCAGGGACATGAAAGGAGAAGGAAAACTTGGGTCATCCGAGAAGCAATGCCACTTCTAGGGTCAAAGACCCTGGGGACATAGGTGTGACGGAGGTAGAGTACAAAGTTCTAGACCTTTAAGGAGAAAGTTCCTCCTCTCTGGCTGGGTTCAGTCTGGGTACTATATGACCTATGTCACCTCTTCTATCAGGTCCCAGAAGGTCATGGATTTGGTGTCTCTGGCAGCTGGGCAGCATACTGGGCCAGGGTGTGGTGCAGGAACTGGTATTGCTCACTGGTCTGGATCATACCCCCTCTGGAATGAGAAACAACAAAGCTGATGCTGAGAGCAGAGACAACTACATCAGGAGGCTTCCAAAAGCTCCAGTTCTCCATCTTTTCCAGATACTGGGAACCTGCTCTGTCCCATATGGGGTTCTGGTCTAAGACTCAAAGCTGGTTTCTTTGGTTTACAAGTCATAGATTCCCTGAATGAATTTTTTTTAAACCAATTTTTCACTTGTGTCCACTCTCTGTCCTTCAGAACCATCCGTTCTGGGTAGAAATCCAATCTTGCTTGACCCAGAGCTCAAAAGGTCACACCCGAAGACCTAGAAGGCCATATGTGGCATCAAGGCTGCAAGTTCCCCACCTCTGGTCTAGTTAACAACAGAGTAGAGAGAAGGGGATGGATGGGAGCAATGTCTAGACTCTTGACAAGGCAAAGCAACTGATTGGATGTGGAAGTAAGGAAGAAAGAAGAGTCAAGGATGACTCTAGGGTTTTGAACCTGGGTGGCTAGAAGGATGGGGGTGCTGTCGACAGAAATAGCCCCTGGAGAGGGGACAGATTCAGCAGGAAGAGGATAATGAGTACTGTTTTGGACATGTTGAGTTTGAGATGCCTATAGGATATCCAGGTGGTGATGAAGCTTTAGAGTTTGGGAGAGAAATCAAGGCTGGATCTATTGATCGAGGAGTCATTTGCATAGAAATAATTATTGAGAGTGACTGAGAAATCTCTTTTTTTGTGACTAAGAAATCTTGACTATTATAAATACACAAATTAGAAAACTATGGAATGGGGCAGATCCAAGATGGCGGAGTAAAAGCAGTGACTTGCTTGAGTTCTCCCCTAAACCCTTCCAAATACCTGTAAAAAAAAAATGACTCTAAACAAATTCTAGAGCAGCAAAACCCACAAAAAAACAGAGTGAAACAAATTTCCAACCCAAGACAAACTGGATGGTTGATTAGAGGGGTCTGTTGAGCCAGGCTGGGAGAGGAGCACAGTTCAGCCTGGGCAGGCAGGCAAAAACCAGGCCTTAGCGAACCTGGAGCAGTCCTCAGGGGGAAAAATAAATACACAAATTAAAAATAAAGGATATATGAAGAAAGATGCCATCCACATCCAGGGAAAGAACTGAGAAATAGAAGTCTGTATAGAATAATTTTACATATTTATATATCTATATCTATATCTATATATAATGTGTCTAGTGGTAGCCATTTCTAGGGCAGGGGTAGGGGAAGAAAAAAAGAAATTACACCGTCTGGTTGTGGGGGGAAGAAATGGGAAGGGGAGAAAATTTAAAAATCAAAATCTTATGGAAATGAATGTTGAAAGCTAAAAATAAATTTAAACATATTTATATAAATATATGAAGAAAAATTAGAAATTTGTATGATAATTTTGTTGTATATTTGGAAGAAATAGCAAGTTGTACATGGTAGATTTGTAGTTTCATGTACAATCATCTTTTTTATTTTACTGTTGTAGAAATGCTTGTTTTGTTGTATGAATTGTAAATAAAATTTAAAAAAAGAAATGGTCATTGCACTTGTAGGAGCTAACAAGATCAGGGGAAGATAAAAATGTAGATAGAAGAGGGCCTAAGAGAAAACCTTGGGGGGGGCACCCGTCTTTAAGGGCAAAAGGTGGGTGATGATTAGCGAAGTACACTGAGAAGGAGTGGTCTGATAGGTGGGAGGAAGATCAATGTGGGGAGTAAGATAGAGTCATTTAGCAGCAAATTGGATTACTCTGCCCTATCATGACCTTTGTACATCTGATCTCCTGTGCTCTCCATCTGTTAAAGTTCCATCTTTCCTTCAAGACCCACATAACCTCCCCTGATATCCCCCTCCTTCCTCCTTGCAGAGGAAAGTGATCTCTCTCCTTAAAATTCTTAGAGCACTTTGCTTGGTCCTTCCCTGGCTTTGTCTTTAAGCATTGTTATGTGTGTGCTTGTCTTTCTCCAGTTTTAGAGAGGAAGCTCAATGAGGGCAGGGAATTTCTGGAAGAGGCATATTAGTATCCTGGGTACTCGCCACAGTGCCTTGTACAACACTTAATAAATGTTTGGTGAATCAAATTGATTCCATCAGCTCTTGAGACTTGGTTATTTGTGCACCTTTGACGTGACAAACTTCCATGATATGTTTTCCACAGGTGTCTTCCTACAATTTAGTCTCCATATCTTCAATTTTTAGTTCTCTCCCATTGCTAGGTTTTACAATGTTCCTCAACCCCCAACCCCCCAAACTCTCCGAGGCCAGAGGGATTATAAAATGTTTTTATACAAATGCCAAATCCTTCTAAATGAGCAATTGAGGCCCAGAATAAATCCATCTATATGCGATCCAAGTTGAAATTCTGACACCCTCCCCCCAAGTAAAAATGTATACTCTGCTAGTTGTAAAATAAAGTTGGTTCTTTTTTGTTGTTGTTGTTGTTGTTGTTTTGTTTTTCCCAGCAGCAGGGGTCCTTTCTTTCAAGACACTGATGCTTGAATGATATTTACAGGAACGGGGACCCTCTTAGCTTGAGCCTCAACTTACCTGTCCAGCCGAAGCTGGCATACGATGCCCAGGATGTCTACTTCCCCCCGAGCCTTCAGTTGTTGGCAGCCAATCCGTGTGGCAATGAAGCAGCCAGTCCGGCCAATCCCAGCACTGGAGATAAAGCAAAATGGGGTATGTCACAAGGAGATCACGGTAGGTAGAAGTCGGTTGGCCTAAGGAGTCTACTTCTAGACTAGCAGGGTTGGAAATCAGCGCTGTTCTCTTGGGAACGGGGGAAGAAATCAATGCTGCAAACCACTTTGGGACAGTGGTGGGGGGCCACAGCAGCTGTATGGGCCAAAGAAAATCTCTTTGAGGAAGAGGCAGATGAGTAGTTATTGCAGGAGTCAGGAATCTGCGGCCGGGGGGGCGGGGGGGGGCTGTAATTATTAGCATGCCAACTATCCAAACCCATCTAAGGCCACAGGGCACACTCCCTCTTCCTGCTGCCATTTTTTAAAAAACAAATTGTATCTACTCGGAAACCTCTAGTGGTCCCCATGATACCTCTTCTACCACTTAGCCCTTCTTATGCAACTATCCTCCTTTCTGATAAGCCCGGGCTCCGCCTCAACTAGCAAAGTTTCTCATGCTTTTCTGGTAGGCTATTTCTTCATTTATCTGTGTTTCCTTTGTAGAAGTCAGGGGTCAAAGCCTGCCTATAATAGTGTAACCATGGGCAAGCCGTTTGGCCTTAAAACCCTGTCTAAATAAATGTCAGTTAGTCATGTTATTTGCTCCACACCTTCTCTATCCCAGACATATTTCCAACCCGCCTCCCCCAACCCTCTATCCCTGCTATACCTCCTCCATTCCAGCCCTCCCTACTTCACTCTCCCTTTTCCTCCCACCTACACTGAGTGAGTACTCAATTCTTTTCTCAGCTTTGTTCATACCTCGTCTCCTTTAGGAAGCCTTCATGTGTCACCTGTCTGGGAGCTCACAGAGACCATAAGCTATGCCAGCTCCTCCCTTTCCCAGCCTCCCTCCCCCAGAATAGGGGTTCACTTGGGATAGAGACCACTTCTCCATCTTCACTCTTCCCCAGATCTCCCTTCAGTATCTAGGCCAGCATTCTGTATTCAGTGTCAGGATGGGTCATTTATAATAATAGATAGCATTAACAGATAGATAATAATAGATAGCAATAATAGATAATAATAATAATAATAGATAGCATTTAGTTAGTATCCTAAGCTTTTCAAAGCATTTCATGTATATTATCTCATTAATCCTCACAACAGCTCTGAAGTAGGTGCTATTATCATCCCTATTTTTCAGATGAGGGAACTGAGGCTGTGCCCATAGTCATACAGGTGGTAAGGTAGATTTGAACTCATCTTTCTGATTCCAAGTACAGTACAGTAGTACTCTATCCACTTTGTCATCTGACTACCTGACTAACTTATTCTGTGAAGTTTGGATTCAGTCAAAAGACCACACTTGAGGACCTCAAAGGCCACATGTAGCCTCGAGGCTGCAGGTTCCCCACCCCTGTTAGAGTTTCCCAAATCAAGGCAACACTTGGCCTCATTTTGCACATGTTTGAGCAATAAGGCCCAACGGAGCAGCATATGTATGTGTGTGTGTGTGTGTATGTATTTAACTCAGGGGGTTGGGGCAGACCTAGGCGGGTTTTGGGAAGAAGGAGTGGAATGCAAACCTGCAATGGACCACAATCGGCCCAGAGTTGGCTGCTGTGTCTGGGGTCTCCTCTATCTCATCCACCAAGTGTAAGAGGGGCCCAGATGACTCTGGGGTCTGGTGATCAGGCCAGGCAGAGAAGAGGACATGTTTTACTGGACGGCACTCCTCCTGGTACTAAAAGATGAGGTAAAGAGGTGAGAGAAGGTAAGGGTGCAGGTACATGCACTATGAAGTTCAAATAGACAATTCAATTCAACAAGCATGCATTAAGAAAGCACTGTGGATATAAAAACAAAGATGGAACCAGTGCCTTCCCTCAAGGAGCTTACATTTTACTGGGGAATTAACACAGATAAGTATGCTTAGGTTAAATTGATTAGGGAGAAAGCACTAATCATTAGGGAGATTGGGAAAGACTGACTTTAGGAGCCTGAACCTAAAAGGACAAACCAAAGATCCTAAGAGGTAGAGAAGAAAGAGGGGGCTTTGTGTAATGAGTCAAACATTGTGATTACTCTGGAGAGGTCAGGGGCCAAGAGGTCAGTGCTACCTGCTTTCCTCCTGCCTTCAATGTCCTATTTTTTTCCCTCCTTAAAATTGCTAGAAGTGGGGCAGAGCCAAGATGATGGAGAAAAGGCAGGGATTTGCCTGAGCTCTCCCAAATTCCTTTCAGAACAACTTTAAATAATGCCTCAGAACAAATTCCGGAGTGGCAGAACCCACAAAAGGACAGGGTAAAAGAAATTTCCAGCCCAGGGCAACTTGGAAGGTCAGCAAGACTGGAGCACACTCCAGTTCAGGCCTCACCCCAGCAAACCAACAGCAGGCCTTGGGGGTGACTGAATCAGTGGTGGCACTAGCTATTTCTGGAGCTCTCAGCCTACAGATGGTAAGGCAGTCGGACAACTGGTCAGAAGGAAATTACAGGGGTTCCTTTGCTGGCACTGGGTGCAGGACTCTGTTGCATTACCCACACTAGGATCTGGGTTGCAGTCCAGGGTGAGGAGGAGCACTAGCACATCAGAGCTCATGGCAGCAGGGGAGCAAGGACCCTGGTTATAGTTCCAGGGTGGAAAAGAGTGCTTATGGTCACTCACAGACCAGAGCACAGGCCAGGTGGCCTCTGCTTAGATCATACCACCTTGGAGGAATCGAAAATTTACACCCCTAGAATTATCTCTGAAAATAGCAGCACAAAAACCCTAAAGCTTAGGGAGAGTGCCCTCTCCACTCAAGAAGCAGAGCCCAACTTTAATGTAAAGCTAAAAGTCAAAAAATAGGCTGGAAAAATGAGCAAACAACAAAAGATCCTGACTATAGAAAGTTACTATGGTGACAGGGAATATCAAAACACAAACTTAGAAGAAGTCAATAAAATAAAAATAAAATAAAAATTGCTGCCTCCAAAGCCACAAAGAAAATGTGAATTGCTCTCAGGCTCTGAAAGAGCTCAAAAAGGATTTTAAAAATCAAATAAGAGAAGCAGAGGGAAAATTGGGAAAAGAAATTACAGTGATGCAAGAAAATTATGAAAAACGTTAACAGCTTGGTAAAGGAGGCACAAAAAAAAAATACTGAAGAAAATAATACCTTAAAAAACAGAATAGGCCAAATGGTAAAAGAAACACACACACACACACACAAAACCCAATGAAGAGAAGAATGCCTTAAAAAAGCAGAGCTGGCTAAGTGGAAAAAGATATACAAAAATTCACCAAAGAAAAGAATTCCTTAAAAAGCTGAATTGACCAAATGGAAAAGGAGGTCTAAAAGTTCAATGAAGAAAACAATCCTTTAAAAGTTAGAATTGGGCAAGTTGAAACTAATGATTCCATAGAACATCAAGAAGCAATAAAACGAAGTCAAAAGAATAAAAAACAATAGAAGAAAATGTGTGAAATAGCTCTTTGGAAAAAAACTGACCTGAAAAATAGATCAAGGAGAGATAATTTTGGAATTATTGGACTACTTTAAAACCATGATTTAAAAAAAAAAAGTAGGGCCTAGACATTGTCTTTCAAGAAATTATCAAGGGAAAATGCCCTGATATTCTAGAACCAGAGGGTAAAATAGAAATTGAAAAAAATCCAGTGATCATCTCCTGAAAGAGATGCCAAAATGAAAATTCCTAGGAACGTTATAGCAAAATTCCAAAGCTCCCACATCAAGAAGAAAATATTGCAAGCAGCCAGAGAAAAACAATTTAAATATTGTGCAGACAGAGTCAGGAAACACAAGATTTAGTAGCTTCTACATTAAAGAATTGGAGGGCTTGGAATATGATATTCTGAAGGGCAAAGGAGTTAGGATTACAACCAAGAATCACATTACCAGCAAAACTTAATATAATCCTTCAGGGGGAAAATGGACACTCAACAAAACAGAGGACTTTCAAACATTCATGATGATAAGACCAGAGTTGAATAGAAAATTTAAAAATTTGACTTTCAAATACAAGACTGAAGAAAAGCATAAAAAGGTAAATAGGAAAGAGAAATCATAAAGAAATCAGTGAGGTTAAACTGTTTACATTCCTCCATGGGAAGATGATATTTAACACTTAAGAATTTTCTCATTACTTGGACAGTTAGAAGAAGTGTATATATAGACAGAAGGCAGGGGTATGAGTTAAATATGATGGCATGATATCTAAAAAATAAAATTAAGGGGCAAGAAAGAAGAAAGCACTGGGAGAAAGGGGAAGGGAGAAATGGAATGAGGTAAATTATGTCACATAAAAGAGGTATGAAAGAGCTTTTACAATGGAGGAGAAGATAGGATAGAAGATGGGGGAGGTAGGCAGGAGCACTTGAACCTTAACCTCATAGGAATTGGCTCAAAGAGGAAATAACATACACACTCAGTTGGGTATAGGAATCTATTTTACCCTACAGGAGAATAGCAGGCAAAGGGGATAAGAGAAGGGGGAAGGGAGGGTAGAGTGGGGGAGGTGGTAATCAAAAGCAAAACACTTTTGAGGACGGACAGGGTGAAAGGAGAGAGAGGGTAGGATAAACGGGGAAATAGGATAAAGGGGAATACACAGTAATCATAACTGAAAAAAAATTTATAGCAAGTGTCTCTGATAAAGGCCTCATTTCTCAAACAGAGAATTGAGTCAAATTTATAAAAATAAGTGCTAGTCCCCAATTGATAAATGATCAAAGGATATGAACAGGTGGTTTTCAGATGAAGAAATCAAAGCTATCTAAGTCATATGAAAAAATGCTCTAAATCACTATTGATTAGAGAAATGTAAATGAAATCAACTCTAAGATATCACCCCACACTTATTAGATTAGCTAGTATGACAGAAAAGGAAAATGGCAAATGTTGGAGGGGATGTGGGGAAATTGAGACACCAATGTACTGTTGGTGGAGCTGTGAACTGATTCAGTCATTCCATAGAACAATTTGGAACTATGCCCAAAAGGCTATAAAACCATGCATACTGTTTTAACAAGCAATACAATTACTAGGTTTGCATCTCAAAGGGATAAAAAAAAAAAACAAAAGGGGGCAGCTAGGTGGCACAGTGGATAGAGCACTGTCCCTATAGTCAGGAAGACCTGAGTTCAAATCCAGCCTCAGACACTTGACACTTACTAGCTGTGTGACCCTGGGCACGACACTTAGCCCCATTGCTTAGCCCCCCAAAAATAAAAAAATGAAAAGGACTTATATGTACAAAAATATTTATAGCAGCTCTTTTAATGGTGGCAAAGAATTGGAAGCTGAAGGGATGTCCATTAATTGGGGAATGGCTGAACAGGTTGTGTCATATGATTGTGATGGAATACTATTGTGCTGTAAGAAATGATAAGCAGGATGCTCTCAGAAAAACCTGGGTAGATTTTACATGAACTGATACAAAGTGAAGTGAGCAGAACCAGAACAGTGTACATAGTAACAGTGATATTGTACAATGATAGAGCCACAAATGTCTGCTATTCTTAGCAATGCAATGATCCAAGACAATTCTTAAGGACTTCTGATGAAAAATACTATCCCCTTCCAGAGAAAGAACTAATGGAATCTGAATGTATATTGAAGCAAACTTTTTTTAACTTTATTTTTCTTGGGAGTTTTTTTCTTTTCAGTCTGGGTTTTCTTCCACAACATGACTAATATGGAAATGTTTTGCATGACTGAACATGTATAACCTACGTTAAGCTACTTGCTTTTTCCATAAGGAGGAAGGGAGAGAATTTGGAACTCAAAATTTTAAGAAACAAATGTTTGAAATAGTTTTTATGTGTACTTGTGGAAAAATAAAATATTAAATTAAAAAAAAAAAGAATTGCTGAAGAGTGGGGTAGAGAGCTGGGGAATTGAGAGAGTGTAGACCAATGTTACAAACATGGGTTCTTCCCAGGAGACCTGACTTTTTAGTCCTAGGTCTGCCACTGATTTGTAATATGAATTTGGACAAGTCACTTTATCTCCTGGGCTTTAGTTCCCTGATCACGGTAAACTAGAAGTGATGATACACCTCCCCTTCCCAGCTCCCTACCTCTCCCAGGTGCTACGAGGACAAAACGCAGAAAAGCATAATGTGCTCTTTGGGATCCAGGCTGATCGGCGGATCAATCAAGTCTTTATTAAGCACCCATTACATACCAGGTACTGTGCTAGGCCCTGGGGATAGACAGCAATGCAACGGAACCTACTAAAGAGCTTTCGTTCTATCAGGGAAAGCAACGTGCATACCTGTAAGTATGCGTAGCATACAAACAGAGTAAATACAAGGTAACTTCAGGGGAGCACATCGGGAAAGGTCTTGTGTAGGAAGCAGCATTTGAGTGGGTGTAGGGATGGGGGAGGGGGTGTGAAGAGGAGACGCATTCTGGGCACCGAAGACAGCTTGTGCACATGCATGGAGACAGGATGGAATGTTATGTGACGGGAACAGAGAGAAGGCGAGTTTGGCTGGACCGCAGAGTATGAAGGAGAGCTAGGCGACGCTGGGTAGCTAGATGATACAGTGGATAGAGCTCGAGGCCTGGAGTCAAGGAGACTCATCCTCCCAAGTTCAAATCTGGCCTCAGACACTTTCCAGCTGTATCACCCTGGGCAAGTGACTTCACCCTGTTTGCCTCAGTTTCCTCATCTGTAAAATGGCAAACCGCTCCAGTATCTTTGCCAAGAAAACCCTAAATGGGGTCATAACTGAACAATAACAACAATGTGTAATAAGGCTTTTTAGATCAGTTGGAGTCAAGTTGTAAAGGGTTTTACATGTCTATCAAAGTTTGTATTGATCTGCCTGGTCTCAATTCTATGGAACAAGATGATCCTCTGGTGTCATTTCCCTCCAATCCCCACACCTTTCTAGCTTCCTTCTGTGTGTTGTCTTTCCTCATTAGATTGCAAATTCCTTGAGAGCAGGGACTGTCTTTCTTTTTCTTGCTTGGCACATGGTAGGTGCTTAATAAATCTTTATTGAGTTGAATGATCCTAATTATGATAATAATAATAGCCAATATTAATAAAGCACTTCTAATTTTCCAAAGAACTTTACATATATTATCTTATTTGCTCCTCAAAAGAACCCTGAAAGTTTAAGGGCTATTCTTATCCCCATTTCACAGATGAGGAAATTGAAGCTCCCAAGGCTTAGGCCAGATTTTCTTAACTCCAAGTCTACACTCTAGCCACTACATCACTTGGAGCTAAGAGAGAGTCTCTAGAACTTATTGAACAGCAGAGTGACACATCCTTTAGGAAAGTCACTTTGGCAGTTATCTATAGATTGGAAAGGGGAGGGGCTTGAGGCAGGGAGGCTGATGAGGAATCTATTGAAATAGTCCAGGCAAGAGGTAGCCATGTAAATGGAAAAAAGGGGACAGATGTGAGAAACACTACGGAAGCCAAGTCAATAAGACTTGGAAACAGATTGGTTATATGGGGTAAGGAAAAATGAGGAATTGAGGATGACGTAGGGGAGGCAAACTTGGATGAGTGGAAGGATGGTTGGAGCCGTTGTTAGAAACAGGGAAATTAGATCATGGTTTTAGGGCTGAAAGAAACCTAGGCGGTCATTAGTTCCAGTCCTTTGTTTTACAGATGAGGATACTGAGGCCCAGAGAGGTTAGGTGAGCTCAACATCACAAAAGTAAGTGGCAGAAATGGGATTTGAACCCAGGTCTTCTGATTCCAAATCCCAGGGTAGTCCGAAGTCTTTTCAAAGCATTTTCACCTCATCTCTTGTTCTTATTCTAATTCCTGGTGACAGCATGTACCTTACTCTATCCTCTTCCCACCTTGGTCCTAGAATACACATACTCCAGTTGCTACTAATCACACTCACATCCAAGGACTAGGTCCACTCATTTCTCCTTGAATGCTCTCTTTTCCTATGCAGAGATCAAACTAGGACAACCAGATATTTCTATCTGCCAGGGCTTGGTCATCATAACTCCCATAGAATGCTCTCTGGGTAGCAAGTCCAGTACCCTGGACCTGCAGATGTTCTGGCCCTCCAATGGATTCTACATGTGCCCAACATGGAATCAGCTCCAAGGATCTGCACATGGACACCTTTCCTCCCTCACACATTATGAATGCAGAGGTGACTCTAAGAGTCACTCTTCCTGTCTTATACTTACTCTTCAGTATTCTATACTGGCTGTAACACAGTGACTATCCTGTACTCTGTTTATTCTCTCTTCCCACTTGCTGACCTCTCTACCTTCCACCACAGATGCAGCCACATCAAACCCTGTTTGATCACCAGCATCAGCAGAAGCTCCTAATAGTCCAGAAGGATACTTAACAATTGTGGACAGCCGCATAAAAGTGGCAAATTCCTTGTATAGCAGCCATCCACCTTAACAATTATGACATACTACTGATAAGCAGCAATTCTATTCTATTGTTTATTATCATGTGGTTTGCTTATTGACTGCAAATCATGGAACACCACATTTCAGAAGAATCCCAATTACAGGTGACTCAAAGGGCAATGGAAACATTCATGGTGGGTTTGAGATGGCTGCCGCTTATTACCAACTTGTTTGTGAGAAATGGAATACATGCTATCATTCCAATCATATGGGGAGACAGGGATAACAGGCAGACAGCTTGAGCACTGCACTGGTATCTATCCATAAAGACCAGAACAAGGCTTCCTGTACTTTAAATGGATCCTCTGTAAAGGAGGACCTATGGAATGGCAGACAAGAATCACGCAGGATGAGGATATATTGATGGGTTGTGATCTGAACTAGTCCACATTTGTGAAATCATGAATTTACTGAATGTCAAAGCAAAGGTGAGACTGGAGGTTCCCTAAAGGCAGGAACACTGTCTGTTCTCTCTCTTGTGCCTTAGATACCTAGTATAGGGTTTTGTCGACTATAGGCTCAAGAATTCTTTTTGGACCTGGGTCCTGATGAAGGATTTGGGAGATGCACCTTGACTCAAAATAGTTACTAGAAAAGGTCAGGGAGGAAGGTGGCACCCACTGATTGGGGAATGGCTGAACAAATCAGGTTACCTCACTGGAATAGAATACTATAGTGCTGTAAGAATTGACACAGTTTCAGAGAAATTTAGGAAGACCATATGAACAGATGCAGAGTGAAGTGAGCAGAACCAGGTGAACAATTTATACAATAACAACATTATAAAGACAAACAACTCTGAAAGACTTGAAAATTCTGATGTGATGATTAACTGTGATTCCAGGGCAACAACGATGAAGCACGTGATTTACCTCCTGATAGAGAGTTGATAGATACAAAATACATAACGAGACATACATTTTTGGACTGGGCAGGGGAAGGCTAGGCAGACCCTACGCTCAATGGAAGAGGCCTATTTTTTTCAGGGTCTCCAAGTACCTTAGGGTGGGGAGGTTTCAGCTAAAGGCTTTATATCTCTAAGGAACGGTTGTTAATACCTGAATGGTAAGGTGCCGGACGATATATTCTGGGCGTTCGTTCACATCCTGGACTCGTATCTGGAATGGCCCATAGGTTTCCTCCTCTGTAGGCCAATAGTGAACACATTTCTAGGTGGAAGGGAGATGGGAGTGAGAGAGGGAAGCAGTCCTGTCAGTAAGATCCAGGGATGCTCTAGACAGGAACTGCCTCTTTAGGGGATGAGAGATAGGGAGTTTATGTTGTAGAGGCTGTATCTCCCCTTGGGTGAGAGTCAGGGACCAGGTCTGTTACTAAGAATAAGTGTTAAGGAGTAAACTCTACCCCCAAGTGGTTGTCCCTACCCTGTGAAAGGTGGAGGAGGGGCAAGGGAAAGGGAAGGAAGACAGAGAAAGGATCCTGCAATATTCTAACTGGAGAAACAGAGGCAGATTTTCCAGGGCTCTTCTACGGTTAGAAGACTGTTCCTTTCCTGAGGCACTGGCTGCTGCTCCATCTTACTGGGGACGATCAATTGTAATCCATCGTTCCTCTAACCAATATTAGGAACCTGCCTCTTCCCAACTGCCTGCGTCTGGTGCAATCTGGTCCTCCGAGGTGCTCAGGGGTAGTTTTTCTGGGGAAAGCTGCCACCTACCTCTTTGCCCTCTTGAAGCTGGGTGAGCATGATGATGAGGGGTACCTCCTCTTGCCAAACCATTTCCCAGAAGTCGGACACAGTGTTACGCATGGGGCCTTGGGTTGCAATGTAAACTTTCTCACGACCATCATAGCCCTGGGGAGATGGAACAAAGTAAGGAGTAAGAACCTCAGGGAATTTTCCCCAACTCCCTCTGCCTGGAACTTAGACACCCTGACGTTAGGTTGCAGCCCTTTCACAAAAAAAGTGCCAGAACACTTGACAGACACCCACACCCACACCCACAACCCTCTCACAATTTACGTGACATATGCATATTTTAATTTTGTTACATTTTATGTATTTAGCATCAAAATGCAGAGCAGAGTCCTCAGGTTCTCCTCTTTCCCTTCAAAATCCACCTTCTGCCCCCTCCCTTCCAAACAATCAATGAGTGATAAGCGTTCCTTAAGCACCTACTATGTGCCAGATATTATGCTAAGCTGTGGAGCATACAAAGACAGAAATGAAGTAATTATGTGCAACATGCACATAAACAAATGAATGAAAAAATAAATGGATGGATGGATAAATAGATAAATGAATCAATAAATAAATGCTGGCTCCATACAAAATACATGGAAATTTGGGGAAGGCAGCAGGACCTTGGAAGAGCAGGAAAATCCCCATATAGAAGGTTCTGCTTAATCTGAGTTTGAGGAAACAAGGAGGGATGATGACAGAGTCCCTGGAGGATGGCCATCGCAAAGGCAAAGAGACAGATGATGGAGTGTTTGGTGTAAGGAGGATATAGCTCTGGGAAGCTTAATTTTCTGTCCTTGAATATGCCGCTACTACTGCTGAATTGCAGATCAACATTCACTCTTTACATCCCATGAAACAGGGATCAGGTTGTTAAATATTATGGAAACAACTCAATTGTAGGTAGAAGACCTGGGTTTGACCTTGACTCTGCTATTTACTCCCTGTGTGACCTTGGGTCACTTTTCTGGGCCCAAATTTCCTCAATGAGGATTGGTTAGAGGAGCTACTAGAGAGAGATGCCATGAGATATTTGATTTTCCATTAAATCGTCTAGGTCATAGGGTCAGACATTTAGAGCTGGAAGGGACCTCAGAGGACATCTAATAAAGACCTTTCATTTTACATTTGAGAAAACAGAAGTCAAAATTGACCAAGTGATATGGCAAAGCTCACACAAGTAGTACGTTGGTAGAATGAGGATTTGAATTTGGGCCATCCAACTCCAGATCCCACATATTTTTCAGCATATCTGCTATGGAACCAGACTTTGCTACATGTTACCTGCATTATCTTGGGCAAGTTTTCTTTCTGGGCTTCAGTTTTCTCTTCTGTAAAATGGGATTGGAGGAGAAGGGTAATTATATGATCTTTACGGTATCTCCCAGTTCTCAATCCTATGAATAGGGAGACCTTGTTTCCTCTCCAAATTGTCCTGGCCTATCACTGATGACTTTCTATTTCCCAACATCTGCAAAAGGATGCCCTTGCTCCTATGAACCACCAGAGGGCAGTAGGTTTCATGTCCACTATAGGGATGTGTGGTGTGATGGGTTAAGGTTCCATATTAAGGCACTATGGGTTTATCAAGGAGGAAATTTCTGGCATGATGCCTTGACCACAAGCCATGCCTAGGTAGGGCACTCCCAGAGGCTGAAATCGAAGTCTTTTCTTAGTTTCCTTAGCTACCAGCTGCCCAATTTTTGGACGATTCTTAGCCTCTAGAATCCTTTCCTCATCAAGTGGTGCCCAGGCTTTGAGCGCTTTTGTTTGATGGGATATAGAGGTCAGCGAAAACTGAGGCTCGAGAATTGGGAGTGGTGAGGGGTATGTGAAAAAAGGGCACCCCTTAAGGGCTGAATTACAAAAGCAATGTTTTTTTTTTTTTTTCAGTACCCCCTGCAATGTAGGAGCTCTCATCAAACGAGATAATATTTGTAAAGCACTTAGCACAGGGCCTGGCACTGTGAAGTAGGTGTTCAATAATGGCTTGTTCCTGTCCCTCCACAACCTCAGGGAGAGAAGGGGGATATAGGTGGCAACTCAAATACAAGCTGCCGTTGCAGTTAAATGAAGGCTTGTTCTCTACTGCCTTTGGCTCTTTCCCCATGCAGATTCCCAGAGTCATTAACTCTCATCAAGCTTAGTGGCTGATTTTCAGCAGGTGGGAGCCTCCTGCCACTTTTAGGGAGATTAGCTACTGTGGGCGCTGTATATAGATGCAGTATTTTGTAATCTTAAAGACTAGGTGACCTTTTGGGGATCATAAAATCAACCAGAGCAATGGAGTTGGATATATAGGAGACTCCTGTTTGGGTACTGATTGGAATAAACTGGTTCCTAGGTGGCACAGTGGATAGAGTCCTGACCCTGGAGTCAGCAAGCCCTGAGTTCAAATTCAGTTTCAGACACTACAAAATTCTATGACCACAAGCAAATCACTTATCCTCTGTTTGCCTCATTTTTCCCACCTAAAAAATGTTGACAATAGATAATAATAGCACCTACTTCTCAGGGTGGTTGTAAGGATAAAATGAGATAATGTTTGTAAAGTGTTTTGCAAAATTAGAGAGCTATATAAACGTTTCTATTATTATAAATTGGCAGCTAGGTGCTGCAATGGATAGAGCACTGGTCCTGGAGTCAGGACAACTCCTCTTCCTAGAGTTCAAATCCAGCCTCAGACACTAGCTGTATGACCCTGGGCAAGTCACTTAACCCTGTTTGCCTCAGTTTCCTCATCTCTAAAATGAGCTAGAGAAGGAAACAGCAGACCACTCCAGTAACTCTGCTAAGAAAACCTCAGAAGGGGTCATGAAAAGTTAGACTCAACTGAACAACATTAAAAGAGAGGGTAGAATAGGAGCAGGGAGCCGTTGCAAAGAGGCAAAAAATAAATTTGATGTCAGGAAAAAATACTTCCTAACAATTAGAATTATACGTGATTGGAATGAGATGCTTTAGGAAGAAGTGTTTCCTTCCATTTTATATGTGTGTGTGTGTGTGTGTGTGTGTGTGTGTGTATGGGTTATTTGTATGTTGTATTTATGGCAGCTAAGTGACTCTGTGGATAGAACTCTGGGCCTGGAGTCAAGACCTGAGTTCAAATTCAGCCTCAGACACATACTAGTTGTGTGACCTTGGCCAAGTCACTTAACCTCTGTTTGCTTTAATCTACTGGAGAAGGAAATAGCAAACCACTCCAGTATCTTTCGCCAAGAAAACTTGCTGTCCATGGGGTGACAAAGAGTTGGATATGACTCAGCAACAGCAATGTTCCATCGTGGATATACTATATATATTCTGTATATGATATATATATATCTATATATATGTATATGTTTACATATATAGTGCAGGCTAGCTGATACTTACGGCTTCATTACAGGGTGATTATTTTGTGGCTATAGGTTGGGCTAGAATTCAGGGGCAGGAAACTTGCAGCCTCGAGGCCACATGTGGCTACTTCAGTGAAGTTTGGATTCAGTCAAAGGCTCGCACTTGAGGACTTAGAGGGCCACCTGTGGCCTCGAGGCCACAGGTTCCCCACCCCTGGGCTAGCTGGTTTCTGAAGTCCCTTCCATCCCTGAAATAACATTATTCTGTGACTACCCAAGGATAAAAGAGAATTTTGGATTGAAGTAGAGGAAATTAGGTCTATTTTCAGACCAAAAAAAGTAACATGTTGTAAGTATATACATATATGTTCATATTTAGTGTTTCAGAATAGAAACCATCACTCACAACCATGTTTAATCCCAAAGCTGCCATGCACATGAGCTAGGGTCCCACAGGACACATTTTGGGGAACATTGGTCCAGTCTGGCCTCATCATTTTACAGAGGAAGTCGACTTGCATTTTTGCTTCATTTGCTATCCAGTGGAAGGGCTGGAATAGGCCCATTAATCAACAAATATTCATTAAATGCCTACTATATGCTAGGCACTATGTTAGGCTCTGCAGATGGAGATTAAGAAATCAAAATAGCCCTTGCCTTTACATTCTTTTAGATCAGGGGTTCTTAAGTTGGGATTCATGGAGTCCCAAGGCTTGGTATATGAACTTGGATGGGGAAAATGTACAACTTCATTTTCACTAACCTCTAACTGAAATTTAGCACATTCTTCAATTAATTAAGAATACGAAAAAATAAAATAAAAAATATGATTCTGAGGTCAAATTCCAAGGCTTTGCCAGACTGTCAAAAGGGTCCATGACACCCAAAGATTAAGAACCCCCATCAACAATACCTAAAAATCTTTCTATCTCTAACTTTCTGTGCCCTCTCTGTGATTCACCCAAGGGTGATCTGCTCTGTGAGGAGCTCTTGAACCCCAAGGTCCAGAGAATTAACACAGTGGGCAGAAAAGAGCACTGACCTCAGAGCAGAGAAGTCTGGGTTAGATCTCCAACTCTGACACTTTCTACGTGTCACTGTTTTGTTGTTCAGTTATTCCAGTTGCGTCCTTCTCTTCATGAGCCTATTTGGGGTTTTCTTGGCAGAGATACTGCAGTGAGTTGCTATTCCCTTCTCCAGCTCATTCTGCAGATGAGAAAACTGAGGCCGACAGGGTAAAGCAACTTGCCCAGGGTTACACAGCTAGTAAGGCTCTGCAGCTGGATTTGAACTCAGAAAGATGAATCATCCTAACGCCAGGGCCAGCATTCTATCCATTGCACTACCTAGCTCCTCCCACTCACTTAGCCAAATTGTGCCTCAGTTTTCTCATTTGTAAAATGGTGGCAATACTATCTGTATTGCCTATGTAACAAGGTGTTTGAGAATGAACTTTCCACTACAGATTGTGAACTATAAAATGTTATAGAAGTGCAAATGGCTGTTATTGCCTGACACATAGAAGTAGGTGTTTAATAAATGTTTGTTGAGTTGAATTACAATAATATAAATTACCCAAGAAACCCCTTGCCTGGCAATGGGATTGTTTTGGTGCTGCGAGAGAAACTTACTCGGATATAGTTGGCATTAATGTAATCTCCATCCTCTTGGCTCTGTGCCCGCCCAAGACAGACACGGCTTTGGGGATCTAAGAGAAAAAAAAATTGATGGAGGTCAGGAGTCATATAGAATAATGCTCATTATCAGCATCATTACTGAATGCTTGCTGAATAAGGAACGACTTCATTCAGTAGGGAGCCATTGAAAGTCTTTGAGCAGGGAAGTGCTCTGTGAGTTGGGAATTAGGATGATCACTCTGGCAATAGTGGGGAGGATGGATTGGAGAAGTAAGAGACAGAAGATTGGGACTCCAGCTAGGAGGTTGTTGGAGTAGCTTAGGTGTGAAGCAATATGGACACAGACTGAGCTGGGAATAGAAAGGTAGTAAAGGGTGACAGAGATTGTAAAGCAAGAATGTCTTTCTGATGGAAGAACTGAGATTGAGAGAGAAGTAACTAGCCCAAGGTCACCCAGCAAACTAGGAGAGGAATCAGGACAAGATTTTAGGCCCCTTAACTCAGATGTAAGCCCCCCATGGAGGGTCTAACAATCTTTTTTTCTTTTTAAACAAACACAAGCAGGGTTGTGTAGACAAGAATCAAGGCAGTGCTAGATTGGTTGTCAGAGAACCTGGGTTCAAGTTCTGGCTTTGACACTAGTTACCTGTTAGACCTTGGGGAAAATCATTTCATGTCTCTGGGTCTCATTTTGCTCATCTGATGACTTCATCATCAGCTGAGGTCCCTTCCAGCTCAAAGTCAGGAAACTATGAGCATCACGGGCAAGGTGGCTTTCAGCAGGAAGAGGATCAGAGACAAGTCTCCTGTTGCCCAGTCTCTCCTGATCAGAGGGCTTTGAGGGGGGAGCTCAGGTAGAACCTGGCTCTGCCTTCATGTTATCCCAATCCTTCTGCCCACCCTGGTACCTCTGTGGTTGTCTTGAGTTAGGCTCAGTGTTACTTTCTCTCTAGTTAAGTGACTTTCTCTCCCTATCTGTTTTTTTGCTAGCCAAGCCCCCCTGGGCTATGGAGTAGCAGCCAGATTCTTAGAATGGAAAATTCTCCTCTGGATATTGGTATGGTGGTGAATCTAGGCTGTTGAAATCACCAGGCTGGGACCCTGTAGGTGGTTAAGGCCACACAGAGAAGGAGAGAGGGAGAGCTGAGCATCGGATAAGGCTGTGTGCATGCAGTAAAGGCTTTGACTGGAAAGAGGGTTGATGCTTACCTGTTCCCTGGAAATAGATTTTCACATCCAGCTGAGATGGAAGATTCAAGAGTCTTGGAGCCCAGTGTCACCTCAATTCCCTAATCTCATTGAAAATTTTCGGAGCTAGATTGATTTTCCTCAGCTCCCTCCCTTCCCAGTTGTCCATATTCCATAGCTAGAGGTTATGTCTCCTCCAGCCCAGCTGTGTCTCTTTCACTGCTTCTGGGTGTCCTCCATACCAGACAGGATTCCTCCAGCCTAACTGCACTTTCCCCCATCCTCCTAGTCACTCAGGTGTACAACGTCCTTGACCCTCTACCCTCACTCACATCACGCATCTCATTTGTCGTCAGATTTCATTTTTTCTATCTTTGCCAACATCTCTTGTAGGTGTCTCCTCACTATTCACACAGCCACTGCCCTAACCCATGCTCTCATCACCTCTTGCTTGGGCTATTGAAATAGCTTCCTAATTGCTCTTCATGCCTTAAGTCTCTCCCCACTCCAATCCATCCTCCACTCAGGTATCAAAGGTCATATCTGACAATATCCCATTTCCCTACCACCATCCCTCACTCAACAAGCTCCAGTGGTTTCCCATACTTCCAGGATCAATGGCATTTAAAGCCCTTCACAACCTGGACCCTGCCTACCTTTCTAGTTTCCTTCATAGACTTCATTCTCTTCCGTACATTCTACAATCTAGTTTCCCCATCCTCCTTTGCACATAAAAACTCCTGACTCCAGGCATTTTTGATGGCTGCCCCCTATGCCTGGAATGCTCCCCCTCCTCCCCTCCACCTCCCGGCTTCCTGCAAAACTCAACTCAAATCCCACCATGCTTCTTTGTGCTCAGCCGGCACGTAAGAGTCTAATAAATGCTTATTGATCGATTCTTTATCCCAGAAGTGCTTCCTCTCTTCCTCCTAGACCTCTTCTATCTCTGCCATTCCAGCTGTATCTTTTCTAGTCTAGAAAGTATCTTCTGTCCCAGCTGTGCTTTCTCTAGTTTAACAGTATCCTTTGTCCCAGCTGTGCCTTCTCCCTTCCAGCCCTTCCTCCCCCACCCCTAGCAGCCACTTTTTCTCCCAAATGTGCCTCCTCCATTCCACCATTATCTTGTGGAGGGAGGGAGGAATGTGGCACCGACCCCTCCTCCAGCTTGACCCTGGGCTTCACAGCTGAGACAAGATGCAAAGTCATTCGGCTGAACCCAAGAGTCATTCATCACCCCTGAATTGCCCTCTGGGCTTTGCCTTCTCTAGCCCCACCCCACCTCCCTTGCTCCCTGCCATGGCTCTTACTTGGCAAGATGGTCTTGTATCGGTCCTTAGAGGCATGGCCAGGAATGTCCAGTTCTTCAGGATTGACAAAGTTTGGGGGAATCTTCTGGCAAGTGTGAGGAGGAAGGATGTGAGCAGCTGAAACTCCTGCCCTGCCCTCCCTGCCAAATCCTCCACTCCGCGGTTCACTTTTCCCATAGGATCACGTATCATCGATTTAAGGCTAGAAAGGACCTTAGAGATCATGGAGTCCAATCACCTCATTTTACAGTTGAGGATACTGAGTCTCAGAGGTTAAGTGACTTGCCCAAGGTCACACAGCTAGTCAATATCTGATGCAGGATTTGAACATAGGTCTTCGGGGCAGCTAGGTGGTGTAGTGGATAGAGCACCGGCCCTGAAGTCAGGAGGACCTGAGTTCAAATCCGGCCTCAGACCAAACACTTGACACTTAATAGCTGTGTGTGTGATCCTGGGAAAGTCACTTAACCCCAATTGCCTTAAAAAAAAAAAAGTCATATGAACATAGGTCTTCTCAGTTGCAAGTCCAGGACTTGTCACTGCATCCACCTTGCTGCCTAGCTAATTAGTTGATTAAATTTCCTATTTTTGATATTAGCATATAAAGTTAGATGTGGTTGCAGTTAGAAGAGTAGGCACTGGAGAATCCCAACGTTTTCTATAACCTTTTACTGCCGTGTCTACCTCGATTAGGGAGCACTTCCTGTAACCTCTGACTCCTCTGCAGACCTTTCCTGGCCACAGAAAGACACAAATTTGTCCTCAGTTTTTGCTAACATTATATACAACTGTAACATTGCCAAATAGCTCCCTCAATCTCTGGCCTCCCCCTGTTGTGGTATGATTCAGAGGCAAATGGGGTGAAGTGTAAGGGACAGCCCCAGGGTCCTTACCGAGAACTCTTCCTCCAGTTGCTTGGGGCTGGGTGGCTGGTGCTGCAGGGCCCAGCGGGTGAGGGGGTGCCTAGCAGTCCTTAAGAAGTGGAGAGTGAGCTCTCGGGGTGTAGACACTGAGCAGATGGGCTCCACTGCCCCCAGAGAGCTCACATCCAAGATCAGAGCCACGTTGGAGCCTCTCCTGTGAGCAAAGCCAGAGGTCACAGCTGGGGAGGCCATTCTCTGTGTTTCTTAATTCCAGGGTCATGGATTCCCAGTATCTCAGCATTGGAAGAGATCTCCAAGGGATCCACCCTGAACCTGAACAAAAAGTCTTCCTACAGCATCCCTGACAAGGGGATGACATGAGTCCAGTCTTCAGGGAAGACTTCCAATGATGGGGAACTCCTTCCCAAGGCAGCCCAGTCTACTTTTGAGCAACCCTGAATGTTAGGAAGCTTTTCCTTACAGGAGGCCTAAATCTGCCTTTCTGAAACTCCCATGTGTTGCTCCTGTCTGGGGCCAAGTAGAATAAAGCTAATTTTTCCAGATGGGAGGCCTTCACAGATAAGGATCATTATCCTGTCCCCCCTGAGTCTTTCCTTCTCCAAGCTAACCATCTCCATTTCCTTTAATGGCTCTTGAATTGGCATGTTCTCCCGTGCCCTCACTGGAATGGCCTAGGGACTCACCCAGGAGGTCAGTCTGCCACTTGGAGTGTTTTGGGGCTAAAACTCTTGTTTTTCCCTCTTCCATGGAAGATGCCAACTAGTGTGTACTCTTTCAGTGCTTCTGAGGGAGACTAGCCCTGCTCCCCTTTCTCCACATGTAAGACTCCCTCCCCCCATCTACACCCAACACCAGGGAGGCCAACAACAGTCCTTTCTGAGTCTGTTCTGTTGAGGATATCCTGAGAAATGCTCCTGTCAGAGCCCAACCACCTTTTCTTTCAGGCTAAGCCAACCAAACTTGAGCCTATTGAAGCATGAAGAGTCTGGGGGACCTTGGGTATGGAGTAACCTGAAACCCCATGTCCCAGACATGCAAATGAATGCAAATTAGAACATCTGGGATTCCATATTGATTCAGTTCTATCCTCTGCTCTGTACTGAAGTGTCTGATTTGGAAGGATGAGGTGTGTTTTTAATGGTGGGGGGGGATGGGCCTATTTGGGGAGATCAGGGCTGAGGGAATTGAAGTTCTGGGGTAAGGAATAGGGTAGGGGAAACCCCCTTTCTCACACAATCATTCCTCCCCGCACCCACACCAGGCCTCACCTCTCCTGCAGTCTGATGTGTTTCTTGGCTGTAGAGCTGGGGGCAGGGGCCTGGGCCATGGTTGCCCCCTGTGGCAGAGCTGTCTGATGAGCTCGGGAACACTCCCTACAGGCCTGGACCATGCTGGGCTGGGGCCCGGGGGGCCAAGGTAAGGGCCCAGAGCAGGTTCACTCAGCCATGGTGACCATCTGAAAGACACAGCCACCCCACAGCTGACAGTCACTAGGGTGATGGGTAGGAGGCCTTCATGCCTGCCAGACCAGAACGAGGAATCTGAGCAGGGGAGGAGGGAGAGCAGGCACCGACAGGCCAGGGGTTGGGGCTCGTGGTTTTGCGCCAGTCTGCTGTCCGTTTGCTCATGGTGGTGTTATCATTCCCACCCAGAGTTGGTTGCATTTCCGGGGTGGGAGCAGCGGTTATCTAGAGGGCAGGAAGGGCAGCCTGTTAGGGCCCAGGATGAGTTATCTAAGGGGAAGGGTAGAGGGACTTTGGTGAGGGGATGGAAGAGATAGTAGTCTATAGAGGAGGAAGAGAGAAGAGCTGGGTTTGATATATATATATATATATATACACACATATATATATTATATTTGTGTATGTATGTATACATATATATATGTATATATATATATACACACACACATACATGTGTATATGATCATGAAGGCTCCTAATAGGGAGCTAAGAGAAAGAGGGAAAAGAGAGCCAGAGAAGAAACAGGTTGCAATGGGGAAAAGAGAAGAGAGGAAGAGAGAAGGTTGGAGGTAGCTTTCTCTTTGAATGTACCGGGGCACCCAAGATTTCAGACAGGCGTATCACAGTGTTGGAATCAGATGGGGACCCAGGCATATGTATCTCTCAATGTGCTCCAAGGGCTGGTGGAGTGGAAGACCCAACGTGCCTACTCACGCCCCCTTTAACCATGGGCAATGCCCCCTCCCAGTTTCAGCTGTGGCTTCTGGGGTCTCTGTCCAGGGAGGAAGACCGAGGGGGTGTTTCCTTCCTCTTCCTCTCCTTCCCCAACTCTTGCCTTTGCAACTGTCAGGAAATGGCTTCACTGAGCCTTTAAGCTATCATAACATGTGGCAGAACACAGCTGGGAACACGTGGGGGTGGGGACAGGGAGGTAGCTTGGCCTTTTGCTCTTTAGGGGGCAATCCCCTCTCCCAGAGCCTCAGCCACAGCTGGTCAGGCTCAGAATAAAGAGGGCAGCTGGACTTCTAGGGTCAGAGAAAAGGAAAAAAGAGAAGGCAAAGGGAGATGGAATCAATAGAAACACGCATATCTGGGCTTTGGGAAGGAGGAAGACTTACTTTGCCTATCCTTTTCCTGGGAGACCCCTCAGCCTTTTGTGCCCTCATGGCCTCTGGAGGTTATTGGAAATTTGTGTCCACTGTCCTGTCTAGTCCAGCCCTAGGGTGACATAACCCTTCCCTCTTCCACCTTCTCCGGCAATGCCCTCTTACCATGTATTGCTGCCATTGTGCAGAACTGAGGGGCTCCCACTGACCACCTCCCCACATCCCCCTTCTAGGTACTTACTGGAGTGGCTGTGTCCCCCCAGGCTGCCTCCTGCCAGCTGTCTGTCTGTCTGTTTGAGGGCTGAGAAGGCTTCAGGAAGCCAGCTTCCTCCCTCAGCCCCTCCTTGCCTACCACCCACGCACACCCCAACCACATGCTGCCCTCCATGCGCCCACTGTCACTGCCACCAGGGGGAGGGCGCCTGTTTGCCTGGGCCACTAGGCAATCCTCACATCAGGTGTTCCTTTCTCCACTTTCCCAGGAATTCAGCTCAAAGCAATGCATTTAAATCCAATACTATAGGCTCTTAAGCAAGACACCTCCCCCATTAGTTTCCTCCTTGGTTAAATAATGGGGTTGGGTGAGATATTCTCTCAGGTCCCTTCCAGCTCTAACTTCTATAAGATTAATTAAATTCAGCAAATTTTTTTCAACTAATATTTATTAAGTATCTTCTCTGGGCAGAGCATTTTGTTAAGTTTTTGGTAGGCAGAGTTGTTTTTTTAAAGAGAGAGTCTCTGCCCTCAAAAGGCTATCTCTGACCACTGGGGTAGGATGCAGAGGGTCAGAGGTTTAGAACTGAAAGAGCCTTCAGAGTCCATCTAATCTAGATGCTGTGTCTCTGTGACCCATTTTCTGGAAAGGGAAGCACTGTCCCTGACAGGCTTCCCCAATTTCATAGGCTTTAGAGACCTCAGAGATAATTCAGTCCAACTTTCTTGTTTAACAAATGGGGAAATTGAGGGTCACAGTGGTGAAGTGACTTTCCCAGGGTCCCACACGGAGAAATAGCAATATCAGAATTCAATAGCAGGTCTAATTACAAATCAGGACTATTTCTACCATACATCAGTATGTTTTACTCTGCTCCTGGAGCATCTTCCCTTCCTGAAAGACACTAATAACTTCCATTTACACGGGCTTAATTTTATATAAAGTTTATAAAGATCTTCCTCTCTTCCTCCTTCCTGATCAATTTCATTTCTGGGCAATGTGGGCTGCCCTAAACAGTCACATGACACCTTTTAGCTGGACACTGCCATTCCTGACCCTTCACCTTTATCCTGCTTCCCCAACTACCCTGTTGTCCAGATCTCCCTCTACTCACCTAGCACCCCTTGGTGGGAGCCTTCTCCCATGCATCTCTTGCCCTTTCTATTTTCTAGAATTCACAGACAAGCGCAGGCCTTGTGAACCTCAGAGAGGATATGGGCTACCCGCTAAGAGTAGGACTATGCTTGCTCTGCAGTTTCAGAGAGAAGACCCCAGAGTCTGGAGGGGCAAAACAGCTTCACCAGAGCCTGAGCCTACCACAAAACTCGTCATGACTCTCTCTCTGACCTGGAAACAGGCAATTCAGCTGATTAGCCAAAAAAGGAGAATGAGCCTAGGAGTGTTTTTCCCAGCCCTGCTTACATTTCTCCCTGACAACCCCTTCCCACCTCCACATACCATCTCAGAAGACTTATGGATCAAGAAAAACCTCTGGCCTGAGCGAAGGAGGTCAGCTGGCTCTCCAATCTCCTGCCTACCCAACTGTCCAAATGGCTCCCTGAGAGTCAGACCCAGCTGTTTGTCTTCTTCCCACCCCAGCCCTGCCCTGCCCTGCCCCCACACACCTGGAGGTCTCCACCACCTTCCTGGTTCTTTTGTCGGTCAGCAATGAAAACCTGTTCATGTTCGCTGTAGGTCTTTTTTGCCTTATGCTGTCCCAGGCATCCTCCCTTCCTTCCCCAACCCTTACTTGGTACCCCCACCCTCTGTTTCTTCCTCCC